GGAGGAGGAGGAGAAGGAGGAGGAGAAGGAGGAGGCGGAGGGGGAGGAGGAGGAGAAGGAGAAAGGAGGAGGCGGAGGAGGAGGAGGAGAACGAGGAAAAGGAGGAGGAGGAGGAGAAGGAGGAGGAGGAGGAGGAGGAGGAGTTTGCCACTACGGCCAATGGGCACCTTGTCCTCGGCGAGCGGGGCATCCGGATGGATTGCCGACGAGGCCGCGCTGCCGTCTTGCGGCGGGGGCGCCGCGCTCGCCGCCGCTGCCGCCGCCGTGGCTTGCTGCTGCTGGGAGTGCGCCGCGTCGTCGACGGCCATCTCGAGGGCGCACTGCGCGTCGATCCTGTCCAGCTCGGCCTTGATGGCGTCGGTCTCCACGATCTCCTCCGGCGTCTTCTTGGTGCGTGCGCAGAAGCGCAGCTGAGCGTCGAACTCCGTGCCATAGATGAGATTCTCGTAGGCACGGATGGTCATCTTCTCGCTGTCCTTGCTTGTACTCTGCAAGGAACGTGAGGTCGGGCTCCTGGCCGATCGGGCTCAGCCTTGCCCTGTGCTTCGAGTGGCTGCTCAGCATGTCGACGATGTCATCCCTACGTCTTGAACTGCCGGAGCCGCGCAGGCGCCTGTCGATGTCCGTCGCGAGCAGGTGGCCCAGCAGTTGCTTCTTGACAATGAAAAGGTCTACCAAGCCTTTGTGCCCACCAGCTGATTCCTTCAAGGCGCGATTGGAGATCTCGCCAACATCGACCATGCCGCTGATGCAAATGTCCTGGATCTTCTCCAAGGTCCACGTAATCAAGCTGGGTTGTTTGTCACACTTCGTCAACACAGTGTTCAGCTTAGTCATGCTGTTGAGCGGGCTGTGATGGCCGTGCTGTTCGGACAGAGAGCGCAAGATGGCAAGGTTCTTCGGGTCCCTGAGGATGTTGTTGTAGACCACCGATGTCTGGTTGATGAATGTGCCCGTCACCGCCTCTGACTCCGTGCTCAAGTTGATCTCGTTCTCGTAGTATTGCGCCAACGCATCGTTGGAAACCTTGCCTGCTCCACGCGTCTGCTCCATGAGCCTTCGAATCCGCAGCACTTCAAAAATGCGCTGGAGGGTGTCACGGCCGACCGCCTTGGCTGCCTGCCGCGTCTGCTCGCGAAGATTGATGGACCTGCGGACCGCTGTGTGGGATGGGTTGTCGATGCCGCCCTCGTGATACTCGAACTGGAACGACGCGCACTGAATGTCCACCTTGAACGCTTCGAGCTTCTCTTTCGGGGCGTTGTTGTCTATGGCTCTGGCGATGCCGATCACGCGCGCGAAGTTCACCTCCTCGGGCGAAAGCCTGCGCAAGGCGCCCTGGTGCTCCATCGGGTTGTAGGTCATGTCCGAGACAAGCGCCGCGTTCGTGCCTGTCCACTGGTTGGGCTCGGAGAAGCTCTTATCAGCGAGCTGGTAGATGCTAGTCTTATTGTAGGGAACCCCCGGCTGCGACGTGAACCAACAATCCAGCCAGAACTCGTTGCCGGCGCAGCGGTAGGTGCCATGCAGCTTCATTGCGGTCTGGTACTCGTTGAGGTCGAATGCGGCCTGCATGCCATGAATGTTCTTCTGCTCAGACATCTCAGGGTGCTTCATCTCCTTGCGGGCGCGCTTGGGGGGTGTCTCGATGTTCTCCTCGCCACCGTCGGCGGCCTCGACGATGCCCAGGGCCCCCGCGCCCCGCAGGTCGCGGAACACTTCGTGGTTGCAAATCTTTTCATACAGGCTGGACATCTCAGCCAAGAACTCCTTGTTGATGCCATTGCTCTCGGCGCTGGCCACCTCCGCAGGCGGCGGGGGGGCGCTCGTCGTCGCCTTGGCTTTCGCCTTGGCGCTGCCGCGCGCCATGACCCTCCAGCAGGCGAAGCCGTCGGGCTTCTCTCCGACGGGCTGGAGGCGAGAGCGCAAAGTGCGCCACCTCACATCAGCCAAAATGGCTAGGGAATGGATGAGAGGGATGGGCGCGACGACGCCGTGGAGGAGGAGGAGGACTGTGGGCAAGAAGAAAGAGGAGTGAACCTCAGACAGTTCACCTCGAGCAGTTACCCCAAACAGTTTACCCTGAGCATCTTACCCCAAAGAGGAACGAGGAGCGGGCCCCAAACAATTCACCTTGAGCAGTTACCCCAGACAGTTTACCCTGAGCCCCTTGCCCCAAAGAAGAAAGAGGAGTGGACCCTCGACAGTTCACCATGAGCACTTACCCCAAACAGTTTACCATGGGCACCTTACCCCAATGTGGAAAGAGGAGTGGACCCCAAACAGTTTACCTTGAGCAGTTACCCCAAACTGTTTTCCTTGAGCACCATACCCCAAGCAGTGTTGCCACAGGTCCTCGCGACAAACCTCAACAGACAGTTTAAAACCTGAGCAGCCTAAATGGAACAGTTCACCACGCACAGCCTACAAACATCAGAGCTCTTAGAACACATGTCTCTTGGGATCAGGGAAGTATGTGTTTTATGTGTATGCGCGCGCCACGCTTTGTGTTGTGTCTGATGTTTGCGTGCGTGGTAATCTACATATTACGTGTTTGACCGTGCCGTGTTGTGCCATTGATGTTTGTGTATATGCGGCCTTGTTAGACGCCCTCGCAGTTTTCACGTGGTTTTGAAACCCTCCGGAGGCTTCATCGATCTCTTTTGCGAATGTCAGCTCTGCGCTGCGCGGCGGGGGGCGATAAGAAAGAAAGTAGCGAACGCCTTGCCTCAGCGCGCAGCGTGCGAGAGCTCGAATTTATTGACTGTCGTCAGCAAACCTGAACAATGTCACGTCATCACTGCGTGTCATCTGACGCAACCGCCTGCAGCATCTCGCTGTCGTCCAACTCCTTCTGCAAACCCTTGGCCGTGACGTAGTACCACTTGCCCTGTGAGATCTCGCGCGCGTCGTCCAACTCGGCGCCCTTCGGATGGCTGCCCTGTGCGGTCCTGACCTCCAGGAGCCCTGGTAGCTGGTGCTCTTTGAGCGGGATCTCGACGCCGCCAGTGGTCTTGGCAACGATGAAGGACATGGTGACAATCTTCAAGTCGCAGATCTTCGTGTTGAATTTCCCGTTCGTGGCAGCTGCTGTGTTCGGAAGCCAGATCAACTCCCAAACGTCGCACGGCTCGATGTAGATAAGCACACTCACCATGTTCGTCGTGTCCGAAGGCGGGACGTACGTCTGCCAGGTCACACGCAAGTCTTTGGCGTTGACCTTGATATCCTCATGAATGAAACCAGCGTCGCCCGTGAAAGCGATGAGCCAAGTCAAGTAGTACACTGTGTCTTTGTCGTGATCCAGACTGTATCCGCGAGCCGTCTCCGCGCTGCATTTGAAGATGTTGATGGATGGGGCATCCTGGAAGAATGAGAGCCTCGACCTCAGCTCATGGATCACCGCCGAGACTTTAATCCGCTTGCCGGCCGCATCTGAGAAGTTCTGCACTGCGTCGCGCTTGATATCTAAGATGAGCCAGCTCTTGCATTCGGGCAGCAGCACGTGCATTTTGTAGATGTCGGTTCCCTGCGGGCTCTCGGTCCACGAACCCCCGGCGGCGCCCGCATCCTCGGCGTCGGAGCGCGGAGGAGTAGTAGTCATTATGGGCATGACAAGCGGGAGCTGCTGGTCGGGAGCTGCTGGTCGGGAGGCCAGCGCAGGGGGGAGTGTTCGACAACGAAGGCTTGAGCACCAACGACTCGGGTTACAGTTGAGAAGCGGGGAACGGGATGCAACAAACAATCATTGTTTAGGGGATTCTTCATTGGGCACCCCTTGGTGTTTCCCCCCCCTACGTGCAAGCACTGTTCGGCGACGACTCGATGGGCACCATGTTCTTTGTTTTGCCCTACGCGCCAGCACTGATTGGGGAAACTGCTTTATGGGCGCCCTGGCGTTTGGCCCAAGGCGCAAGCACTGCCTGGGGATAACTTAATGGGCACCCTGGTTTTTTTGGGGCCCTACGCGCAAGTACTGATTGGGGAAACCTGCATGGACACCCTGGTGCCCCTACGTGCAAGCACTGTTTGGGGGGAGCTCGATGGGCACCCTGTTTTTTTCGGGGGCCCGACGCGCAAGCACTGATTGAGGGAACCTGCACAGGCACCCTGGCGCCCCTACGGGCAAGCACTGATCTGGGAAAACCTGATGTGCTTCCTTTTGGCCCTAAATGCGCAACTGTCCCACTGCGCAACTGTCGCCACTTCCGCGAAGCGCAGCGACGCCAGGCCCACGGGGCGCCTACTTTTCAAAAGGGGCGAGAGGGTGTATAGCAGCATCGTTGATGCATCCTGGGTCCTCTCTGGTCCTCCTCCTCCTCCTCGTCCTCCTTGCCCTCCTCCTCCTCCTCCTTCTCCTCCTCCCTCCTCCTCCTCCTCCTCCTCCTCCTCCTCATCCTCCTCCTCATTATCCTGCTCATCCTTTTCCCTCCTCCTGCTCCTCATCTTCGTGCCTTCTCCTCCTCCTCCTCCTCGCCCTCCGCCTCCTTCTCCTCCTCCTCCTCCTCCTCCTTTTCCTCATCTCCCTGTCTAGCCGGCGGCGGCGGGCGGGTCTCCGCCGCCGCCGCCGCCAGCGCGCCGCCGCGGCGCACCTGGCAGCGGCGAAACGGTGGGAGGCGGGTGATGGGGGTGAGAAGAAGGAAAGGGCAGGATGGGGGGGAGAAAAAGGAGGCGAGGGAAAGCGCCGGAGGCTAACAGAGGACGGATGGGGAACCCAGGAAGCAAAAGAGGCAGCGAAAAATTAAGAGAGGGAAAAGCAGAACTCTGACACAGCCTAATCCGTTCCTCCTTCTCCGCCTCCTCCTCCTTCTCCCTCTCCCTCTCCCTCTCCCTTTTTTTTTGTTTTCTATCTCTCTCTCTATCCCCCCTTTCCCCCTCCCTCTCCTTCTCCCTCTCCCTCCCCCTCCCCCTCCTTGTCTCCCTCCTCCTCTTCTTCCCCCTCCTGCCGCTCCATTTGCTCCCGCTCCTTCTCCTTCCCCTGCCCGCAGGGCGACGACGACATGGACATCATCATTGGGGGGGGGGGCACCTGCTGGTGGTCCTGGTTGTCGTAGGTGTTGTCGCGGCGGCGCCGGCGGCGCCGTCGCCGTCGCCGTCGCCGTCGCCACCGCCGCCTCCGCCGCCGACGCCGACGTCAACGCCGACGCCGACGCCGACGCCGACGCCGACGACGACGACGACGACGACAGTGCATAGTACTGGGGGGCGAAGACAGCACAACCCCAATAATAATAAAACCCAAACCGAACCCCAACTACTAGAATAGAAATTGCTGTGGTCTGGAAATTAACAATGTCTGAAAGGCAAGGGGCACAGGAAAATAGGGGGGCAGCGAGCCAATCCCGAACCCCCAAGAACCCTGCTAAGGACGGGCCAGGCAGGGCCGGCAGGGCCGGCAAGGCCGGCAGGGCCGGCAGGGCCGGCAGGGCCGGCAGGGCCGGCAGGGCCGGCAGGGCCGGCAGGGCCGGCGGGGCCGGCAGAGCCGGCATGCAGGGCCGTAACGGCTGGCAGGGCCGGCAGGGCCGGCAGGGCCGGCATGCGGCAGGGCGGGCAAGGCCGGCAGGGCCGGCAGGGCCGGCAGGACGCATTTTCAGTCTCTGTTTGTTTTCCAAATCGACTGGTCACGGTTCGATGTACAAATCAGTTTGCAAAACTTACGAAGCCTTGACCCCGGCGTGGTAACGCGCGAGTTGCGAAAGTTTCACTTACGTTGGCTCCATGCGAAGGAGCCTAAGATGGGACTCATCTTAAGCAAGATTGGTCTGGACACTGTCAGACTCAACCTCGTCAAAGGTGTCTGCGACATATTCCGAGAATACAGGACTTGGGCAAGCCTGGGCACATTGTTCTGCCCTCTCTGACTGCATCACCTGGCAAATTCAATGAGGAGGTGGAATGTGATCTGCTGTTCTACAAGCGAGAACACAATATATTCCACATGTTCGATCGCTGTATACGGTATGCTACTGGGACTGACATACCAGACAAGACTATGACCAGCATCCTGGATGCATATCGTGCTGGATGCAGTTAGGTCCGGCCAAGGTACTCTGCTCTGATGGAGAGGGCGCCCTTAACAACGACACTGCGAAAGCAGTCCTCAAGGCAAAAGGCACTGAACTTAGGATACGTTCGCGTGGACAGCACGCTGCAACGATCGAGGCCAGCAATGACATCCTGCGCCATTTACTTCACGTCATGGAGGCTGAACTCAATAGACTAGACATACCTCTTGTGTTCACCCGACTACTGCACGAAGCCTTGTTCGCCGCCAACGCGTTCACCTTCTATAGCGAGGAGTCTCCATGCAACGCTCTTTATGGACGGCAACCAGCAATGCTCCCTGACCTACCTGTTCTGGTTCACGAGCAGCCGACGGAAACACCGGATCTCTCTCGTGAACAGACGATACGCAGGTTATGTATTGAAGCTATCACACAGGCCACAGCAGGAGCTAAGGCCAAACGAAGGAGACTTGGTCGACTACCATCGCCCTGCGACCACGAAGGATGACTGGGGAGGCTGGAATGGCCCGTTCCCAGTTGTAAAGAATGATCCCTAAAGGGGTCAGGTCATCCTCCGAGTGGGCAATCAAGACGTTCAAGTACAATGCGGCGATTCAAGGCATTCATTATACATTGAAGCACTCATAGCCAGAGAAACTGGCTCTGACAACACTGCACTTCGCACAGTGTTATCATTCGTAGCCGGCCTATCAGCGGGGAGACCTGCCTTGACCTCTGGCTATGTGCCGACCAAGACAGGGGCGCTTCAGATGACGACCGCAAGCCGTCTATCTCCTAAGGTACACTTGGCTCTACAGTACCTTGTCAGAAACTTCTTTCGCATTGAGCATGTAGTTTGAGTCAGATTAGCCGAGCGTATCCATAAGCTACCTCCGGTCACTCATGCGGACAGCTGCGCCTTGGTTCATCGCGACAACGACGTGAATCCAGGATTCCATTATTACGAAGCAGAAGGTACTGTTCTGAATATACACGATTATCTGGATCAGCACATTCACGAATTATCCGATGCCTGAAGTCCTAAACATCAAGAAGGTTTTGATCAGGACATGTCAGAATTTGAGGAATTGTCAGATGCGCCAACACCAGATGGAACCGCAAGAGAAGCCTCAGAAGCCGAACCAGCATGATGACGGAAGGCTCTCTACGATTTACGAAGAATCAGAGGCTGGTATTGAGTCGCATGTTACGGAAGTGTGGTACGCACAACTACAAGAGGAAAGGGAATTGTTTGAGGCATCTCCAGCAGAGGGCCTCTTTACCATTCCTACACAGATGGTTCCAGATCAAGCGCGCTGATCACTGTAGCTGATGAACAGCGGGGACACCTGCCGAAGTGGGGGCGCACTCACGACTCCGATGCCGAGGAGACGCGCCACGCCCCCATGTGCACCATGGTCGACGACGACAGCTACGGACTCGACACAGACGAACACGGTCGATATGTCGAACTATGCTTTACGACAGAGATGTCGAAGGTAGTCTTGTCCGAGCAACATTGCATGATATTAGATGCCGACCGGGTGACCACTATGCGAGTATACGTTCCCGCCGCTGCAAAGCGAGCTTTGGTCGTCAAGGAAGACGACCTCCTCGCTAAAGCTGACATTCAGGCGAATCCCGTTAAAGTATCGAGGGCCCTCTACACTGAACTCAGGACATGGTTCGACAACAAATGCTGTAAGATGCAGGAGATACCCAAAGCGTCGAACATCATGGCTTCGATATACGTGTGCAAATGGAAACTCGTGAAGAAGGAGAATGGCGAAATGGAAGGTACCATCCGACTACGCTTGGTTCTCCGAGGCTTCATGGACTTTGAAGCTTTCGACGTAGAAGCATTTTCGGGAACGGCGAGACGGTCAAGCCAGAGGTTACTGGCTAGCACGGCAGCGTGCAAGAAGCAGTGGCCCATTGCTTCCCTCGACATCGACATGGCCTTCCTGGAAGGATTGACCTATCAGGAACTTGCTGAGGCTACTGGTGAAAAGGAACGTGTGGCGTGTTTTACCTTGCCGCCTGGATCGGCCACAGTGCTCCGGGCTCTCCCAGGATTCGAGCACTACGACGAGTCAAAGCACTGCCTACAGTGCTTAAAACAGGCGCAGGCACTAAAGACGCTCCACGGGCTTTCTCACTTAAGCTCAGAAGAACCACCAGAGGATTCTGGTCTCCGACCCGCGTCCTGCGGACAAGAGTTCGAGACGAGCAGCAATTGGCTCACGGCCAAGCATGTTGATGGCATTAATATGGCCGGCAGTGAGGACACCATTGACAAACATGTCAAGTGCGTTGGAGATACAATTTGGTAAGTGTAAACTCAACGATCACACATCTGCCAACTGTGCTGTCAGATGCACCAAGGGCGACTACGGCAATGTCACTTTGGATCAAGATGAATATATTGAACAGCTCCCTACTATACAACATACCGAACTAACCGGTGCCGCCGCTGACGCTCAGGCAACCAAGATGGTGGCAGACGTGTTCGTCAGCCTCAGGGGTGCGCTGGCATACGCGCTAATCACCCAGGTGTGGTTACTTGTGTATGTTGTACCTCCACAGCGTTTCCGAGAACCGACCTACATTCAAGTGCGACGACTGAGCGCGATCCCCAGAAAGCTACAGGCCTGCCCGAAGAAGATCGTCCACAAGGCGATGAACCCCACGGGCGAGGTCGACCTGCATGGCGACTCAGGATTGACGCCTGAGTGGAGACGCCGATGACGACGTCAAAGGCTATGGTATTCGCGGGGCAAACCTGCTACGACGTGGGAACACGTCATCTGTAAGCCTGTCGTTCTGTTGAATGATGCGCACTGCAAGTCTCACCGCTTGCAGGTCCGCTCGAGTTATTCAGCAGAGACACTAGCAGCAGCCCATAATTCGGAGGACTGTTATCCCACGATTGCGACTCTGCGCGAGCTCCACGCGGGGCCGCTCACGCCCACTCAGTTGAAAGATATACTTGAGTTGGGTGGCCTGAGCATCATGGTCACAGTGACCATCGATGCTGGGTCTGTTTTAAGTCCTCGTCAAGCAAAAACTTGAAGGGGCCGACTGACTGTACTTTTTTGACACATCAGTTGGATACGACAGATGATGGAGCGTGAAATCACGCGCAGCATTCAGTGGTGTGATACCCGCGATCTGACTGCGGATGGCCACACCAAGGGGAGCATCGACAGAGACATGTTCCTACAAGGCGTGGGAGGTGTACAGACCTTCGAACATGACCTGAAGAGACATACTCCATATCGGGCCAGCCGGTCATCAAGTTCTGACGCCGCCTGGCGAGTACGTCATATACATGCGAGGCAACTTGCTAGCGGGACCCCCTTCCTTTAGGCCCGTTTCTTTTTTTGTCCTTGTGTATGTTAGTTGCTATGCCTGTTGTGTAGGGGCGACGGGCTCACGCTTCGTCTCCCCCCCCCCCCCGACTCTAAGGCGAGCTGAGGGGTGTGAGGAGTGGAAGCGAGCGTGCGCCCGCGGCCGCGTCGGCTCAAGCGGCCGGCCGCCCAAATATGATTGCGCCTCATTGCGAGGCACACAATCGCTATCGAGACCAGAAGGATCTTCCTATTGCTTGAGATGGGATCTCCTCTCATACTGAGACTATCGTTACTACGGTACAACAGAGTTGGAGCTTGGCTTCGTCTGAGGCGAAGCTGTTGGCTGGGCTTTCCAGCCCCCTTCACACTCTCTGAGGCCGTCTTGGAGGCTTCTTGGGCGAACTTGGATGTATCTTGGGCGCTCTTGGGCCGTCAGGGAGGCCATCTAGAACCGTCTAGAGTCATCTTGGAAACCATATTGGCCATCTTGGGCGCCATCTTGCGCCGTCTTGGGGCCTCTCGCGAGGCCTCTTGGGGCGCTCTTGGGGCCTCTTGGGGCCCTCGTGGGCCGTCTTGGAACCATCTTCGGTCGCCTTGGAGTATCGTTTGCTTCGGCAGTGCGAATTTGGCGTGGTTTGCAATGGTTTGTCGCCTCGGGGGCGCAAGAAGCGTGTACTTTGGAAGGTTTTCGGCTTCGGGGGCGTGCACATTGCGTAATGTACAAAGGGATTATGGCTTCGGGGACGCGAATGTTGTATAATTTCCGAGGGTTTGTTGCCACGGGGGCGCAACATTTGCATAATTTACAAAGGTTCGTGGCCTCGGGGACGCGTAGTTCACGAACGATTTTGGCCTCGGGGGCGCGAGTCCCTCATATTCTTCTGTGTCCCACGCCCCCCTGGGAATTCAGAACACACGATCCGGGCGGTTTGGGGCTCCCCCCCTCGCGCGGACTTCAACAATTCAGAGTAGGAAGCAGGAAACAGGACCACAAAATTTGAGGCTTGAAGCTGCAACTGGTGCAGGGAGCAGCAACCTCGTCTTACAGCCTGGTGGCCCCACAGGGGGGGCAGCGGAATTCAACATTGAAGTGCCCTGCGAATCTCAAAACAATACGTACAATGTTCGCATATATTCCGAACAGACAAGCTATTCTTATAGATCCGACGAAAATTTTTAATTTTGGCGTATATTAAATCTGTAGCCGATCCCCTGCTCGAAGACCCCCTCGTGTCATGACAAAAATCCTGACGCAAGGTTTCTGGCTAATTATCTTCGGCCTCGGGGCCGCCAGAAAAACGCCACAAGGTGAGAGACTGGTCCGGGGGACGGGGTCGAGACCTCTGGGGGTCGACGTTCTGAAAAAGTCATGACGTCGGAGGTCTGGGCCCCCGGCCCGTGGTCCTCGTGGCGCGCGGCTGGACCGACACAGGCCGCGGCGGGTGACGACCGCGCGACTGCTGGGCCTCTCGCTCGACACGACATCGCGCGGGCAGTCCAACACTCGAGGGGAAGTGCCCCCCCCCTTCCAGGTGGGGGGGAAGACGTGGAAGAAGAATTGAGGGAGGGAGTGAGGGAGGAAGTAAAGATTTGGCGGTGCTGTGGTCTGTTCCGTTGCTTCCGGCTGTTTGTTGGAGGGTCTAAGGTGTCGACTTCGCCTCCCCCTCACCTTTCCCCATCCCCCTCCCCCTCCTTTCTTTCCTCTTCTTATTCCTCTTCTTTTTATTATTCTTCTTGCTGTTGATGTTGTTCTTCTTCTTTTTATTATTCTTCCTCTACTTCTCTTCGTACTCCTTCTGCTGCTCCTCTTCCTCCATCCTGCTCTCTCCCCCAGTGTCTCCCCGACGGGGGGAGCCTTGGGGCAGGTCCCGTGGTGGACCCTGCTGGGGCGAGGACGCCGGCCCCCCCCGCCCCACCCGCGGCTCAGGGCGGGACCCGCGGTACGACCTTGCAGGGGTTCCTCACCTTCCTCCTCGTCTACGCCGCCGCCCGCCTCGGCAAGGAGCTCGTCGGGGCCAGCATCTCCTCGGCGCTCGCCCCCGCGGGCGACAGCAGAAGATCGAATAAGAAAAAGCGCGGTAGGCATCGATTTTCGGCGCTCCGACGACGGCCTCGCCGCGTGGCCGCGGGGCCTCCCGCGGGTGGCCCTCGGGCTGTCGTCGTGAGCGGCGTGCCGCGCTGCTTCGTCTGCCCCCCGTTCGGGGAACAAAATAGACATGGGCATAACCTCACGGACCTCCGCGCGGATTTCTCGGATCGGCGCTGGAGCCCCCGTGGCGCCGCCTCTGGCGCGCGCCGCGCGCCAGGGAGGGGGTCCAGCGCCGATCCGAGAAATCCGGGCGGACCTCCGAACGGTTATCTTGATGCCTCTTTTCTTCTTCTAGAAGAACAAGTCGGTAGCACAGGCACCAGCTTTCGGAGGTCCGCGCGGATTTCTCGGGTCGGCGCTGGGCCACCGCAGATAGGGGGGGACGTCCATCACGGGCAACGTCAGGGGAGGGGGATAGGCTCAGGTGGGGGGACGCATCGACCCCCAATCGCCCATTCATCGCCGATGAGGGCCCGATAGCCCACCACGCCCCAGGAACGCCTATCGCTGATATGTCAGCGCTGTATCTCCGATTCCAGCTCGATATCCCGCCCCCCCCGAGCCAGTCCCGGCCTAGAACGTTCCCCCTCAATCCAGCGCCGATCCGAGCAATCCGTGCGGCCCTTCGAAGGTTTATGCTTACGGTAGGTTCGTGTCGTGCCGACTCGGCAGCGACCCCGGTGGCCCAGAGTGGACCAATATGGAACCGTCCAGCGATCGAAGAGCCGCCGACCGCTCAGGGCTAAACGATCTCAGAAACCAATGCTGGGGTCGTAACAGCACGAGCCTGCCGTACAGTCAAAATCCATGGTAAGGACGCGGCACTTCCGCAAGGCCGCCCTTCCATCCTTGCCTCATAGGCCAATCCGTGGCCAGTTGCGACATCCACCAAGGGCATCCAGTTTGGAAGGTCCAGGGGCCTGGCATCCTTACCTTGCGTCTTTGCTATCGATTCTGCAGGCTTGCGCTACATCCGCCGACTCCCTTAAGTGTCGATTGTTTCCTATGGTTTCTGGTGGCGTCCAGAGTGATGGTGATGTAGATGAAAGCGAGAGGATGACGTGGCCCTTGCGTCCTTGCTACCGGTATCGACTGCAAGGAGATTTGTTCTCCCTCGAAGGCGAGCCGTTGCCGCCCTCCGCGCCGCTCTGCCCCGCCGGCGATGTGGGCTGCGACGGCGAGGCCCTAGCTGATGTTCAAAACTTTGTTTTTTTGTGAGTTTACCAGTTTTTCGTTTTTAGCTGTTCGGTTTTCGGCCAACCAAGACGGACAATGAAACGGCAGCCCAGCCGTCAACATAATCGACAGCACAGGACGGGACCGAACCGGGACCGGTGCGAAGGAGAGCCCCCGAATGGAGAAAAGTCGGACCCCCAAGCGGCAAACTATCGATTCCATTAACGGAAGAAAACGCCCCAGTCTTCTCTTACACCGAGTGGGTACGAAGACCGTCATCGATTCTTGTCCACTATGACCAGGATTCGCTGTCGGCCTCGCCGCGGACCTTGTCCATTTGGGACAGAAGGCCGCCTGCCCACGAGCGGCCGCTGCCGGTCTTGGACAACGTTTGCTGTTGGGCATCGTGCCCCTTGTTTCCGTACCACTTTCGGGCGTCCAACTCTCAGGGCGAGGTGCTGCGGAGGAAGGCCCGGCTCGCGGACGCCGCGGCCCCGGGCAATAGCAGCGGCGAGCTGCTGGGCGCCCCGCGCCGCGAGGGCGCGCTCGCTGCGGGCGGCCTCGCCGCGTGGCCGCGGGGCCTCCCGCGGGTGGCCCTCGGGCTGTCGTCGTGAGCGGCGTGCCGCGCTGCTCCGTCTGCCCCCCGTTCGGGGAACAAAATGCCCCCGTGGCGCCGCCTCTGGCGCGCGCCGCGCGCCAGGGAGGGGGTCCAGCGCCGATCCGAGAAATCCGGGCGGACCTCCGATGTCATTGTTTGTTCCTCTTCTCGTGGTGGGCTCCGGCGTCCGAAGTGGCCCTGGCCCCGACGGGGGCTCCTACATGGCAGCCGGGCTTCGCCGAGCCCCAGCTCATAGCTCATAGTTAGGTAGCAGCTCATGGGAGCCTCGTAAGTCGTCAAGATTCCGCTTTTGGAATGCATTAGCGTGCGCCAGCTTCTGGCAATCGATGAGAACGCGCCGATTTAGCGCCGATTTGGCGTCGATTAGTACCAGTTCGCGTCGATTAGCGTCGGCCAGCGTCGACTCGCAAGAGCCAGCAGCAAGATGACATGGGAGGCTCTCATGAGTTGGCCATATAATCGTAGCTCATGGCTTGGGCAGGGCCTTCGTCTGGCTCTCCCTTCCACGGATCCTGTCGGAGCGCCACCTCCTCTTCTCCTCGTCCTCGTCCTGCTTTTTCTGGCATTCCTGCTGCGGATTAGGCGGCCTCTGCGCAGGTTACTCGCAGGCTCAAAGGCAGTACTGGACAAAAAACACAGCTGCGCGGGGCGCGCCTGTCGCAACGGCGACAGTTCATTTCCCGTTCCGTCGGGATGAGGAAGAAGAAGAGGAAGATGAAGAGGGAAGAACAGGGAGGGGGAGGGAGAAGGAGGAGGAGGATGAGGATGATGATGATGATGAGGAGGAGGAGGAGGGAGGAACAGGGAGGTGGATGGCAGAAGGAGGAAGAGGAGGAGGAGGAGGAGGAGGAGGAGGAAGAGGGAACAGGGAGGTGGAGGGAGAAGGAGGAAGAGGAGGAGGAGGAGGAGGAGGAGGAGGATAAGACCTGCTTAGCTCCACTGAGCTAACGTGCCAGCTCGCTGAGCCTTGGCCAACCTTGCTTTGGGGTGGCCGTGCACACGAGGGCGAGGCAGGGGAATGGGCTGCCAGAGTCTTGCCCATTTCGCCGCATTTGCCTGCCCCCCCTGTGTCTGCGTCGCGACAGTGCACCTGGGGATCTTAAAGCTCCGAAAGCCTATTCGCCCCAACAGCGGCGCCCTCGGAGCTCGTGCTTGAAAGCCTTCGCAGCGGAGGCCATGACGACGGACTTATCTGTCAATTCCGCTTATAGGGTCGTGCAGCACAGCGTTGATTGAATAGGAAACCAATTCTCTGACGTTGACTGTCCGAGCTTTTGCGTGTCGCGGTCGTCTGGAACCAGAGCAATTTTTGAAGACGGGAACATAGGTGCTCGAATAACTCTTCCTGGTGAGCCCATTCTGGCGGCTGCTCTGGGAGCTTCGCGTCCACCAGCCGGCCACGCAAGTGAGGTTCCATTGCGCGTGCGCCTCGAGGGTGAAGCCGGTGTGTATGCGCCCACTCTTCCAACTAGACCTGATCTTGGCCTGGACTCGCCGTAGCGTGGGCCACAGCGGCAGCTTCCACGGCCCAACATAACTTGTTGTTGCTGTTGCTGTTGCTGTTGCTGTTGTTGTTGTTGTTGTTGTCGTTGTTGTTTTTGAATTCATTTCTTCTCCCCTCCCTTCCCCCTCCGCTTGCTTCTCCCCTCCCTTTCTCCGATCCCTTCGTCCTCATTCTCCCCCGTTATCTGCTACCCTTCGTTTTCAAGGGCTTCACCAACCACACGCTGCAGGGAATGAATATACCCCCCAAAGGGGGTATGATCGAAGACGAAGAGGGCTCGTATCCAGGGTTTGGGATATACATATTGAATGACACGGGAGCAGATAAGAGCGAACAGCGTTAAACTGATTGTTGTTGTTGTTGTCGTCGTCGTTGTTGTTGAACTCTCATTTTGGAAGCATAATTATTGTTGATCCCCCCACCGGTGTGTATTGTTTTTTTCTCAATCAAAGTGTGCACCTCGACGCTTGCACCCTGTTCTTTGACATGGGAATTCAAACTGTGCTTTTGGCCCCCCGGATTACAACAACAACGGCTCCCGCCTGAGACTTCCTCTAAATTTATTCAGGACCCCCGCTCCCGTCCGCGACTTCCTCCCAATTTATTCAGGAACGGCGCTCCCGCTTGAGACTTCCTCACAATTTAGTCCGGGTCAAGCTGCGTTGTTGCTCCCCCGGACTGCAACAACGGCTCCCGCTTGAGACTTCCTCCAACTTTGCTCAGGACCCCCGCTCCCGCCTGAGACGTCTTTCAATTTACTCAGGATCGGCGCTCCCGCCTGTGACTTCCTCGCAATTTAGTCAGGACCCCCCCTCCCGTTTGAGGCTTCCTCACAAATTACCAAAGAACGGCGCTCCCTCTTAAGATTTCCTTGCGCTTTAGTCTATACCCCAGCTCCCGCCAGACATCCCCTTTTCAGGAATTGCGTTCTCGCCAGTGACTTTTTCGCAGTTTATTCAGACATCGCGCTATCTACGCTCAGGCACCACGCTCGCGCCAAGGACGGCGTCACACTTTACTTCGGAATCGCGCTCTCGCCCTACTCAGGCATTCCGCTTGAATGTCCCACCCGCCCGACCCGCCCGTCAGAGGATCGCCCGGCCGTCGTGGGCTGCCGCCCGAGACTTCCTTGTGGAATGGCTCTTCCGCCTGGGACTTCTTCGAACGTTCGCACTCTTACCTTCCTGCTCCTCCCTCCTCCTGGGCCGCCTCCCCCCTCCTTCCGATTCCCTCTCCCTCGCACGTCAGCTGATGTTGAACTTTCATTCCTGAAGAATGATTTCTGTTGGTCCCCCCACCAGTGCGCGTTGTTCTTTCTCAGTCAAGGTGCGCCCCTCGACGCTCGCACCTTTATCTGACAGGGAAAGTCATCCGGGCCAACTGTGCCCCTGGGCCCCCAGCTACGACAACAACGGCTCCCGCCTCAGACGCGCCCAGTGAGGCCCCGCCACGCTGTCCACAGGCCCCTGCCGCAGCCCACAGAGGCCCCGAACGCGCCCACAGAGGTCCCGCCAAATGGCCCACTGAGGCCCCAAAACCAGCCCACAGAGGCCCCGAACGCTCCCACGGAGGCCCCGCCACGCTGCCCAGTGAGACCCCAGACGCAGCCCACAGAGGCCCCGAACGCGCCCACGGTGGCCCCACCCCTCTGCCCATTGAGGCCACTGACGCAGCCCACAGAACCCCCGAACGCGCCCATAGGCCCCACCACACTGCCCACAGAGGCCCCACCACGCTGCCCACCGAGGCCCCAGGCGAAGCCCACAGAGGCCCCGAACGCGCCCATCGAGGCCCCACCACACTGCCCACCGAGGCCCCGGACGCAGCCCACAGAGGCCCCGAACGCGCCCACAGAGGCCCCACCACGCTACCCATTTCTCAGTCAAAGTGCGCCCCTCGACGCTCGCACCCTGTTTATTTGACAGGGAAAGTTATCCGGGCCAAACCTGTGCCCCTGGGCCCCCGGCTACAACAACAACGGCTCCCGCCTCAGACGCGCCCAGTGAGGCCCCGCCACGCTGCCCAGAGGCCCCTGCCGCAGCCCACAGAGGCCCCGAACGCGCCCACAGAGGCCCCGCCAAATTGCCCACTCAGGCCCCATATCATCGGCACAAATCATCGTCGTCCCTCCCTCTTGCCCCTCTAATCCCTCCCGTCCTCCGATCCCTTTGGCCTCTCTTTTTGTCTTTTCCCTTTCGTTTCCCTGTTTAGGCGCTTCTCCAATTACACGTGGCCAGGAAGGAATATCACCCCCCAAAAGGGCGTACGATCGAAGACGAAAGGGCTGTTATCCAGGGTGTGGGATACGCATAATGAATGACACGCGGACCGGTAGGAGCGAACAGTCTTGGCATGATTGTTGTTGAATATTATTACTTCTAAAGAATAATTATTGTTGGGCCCCCTGGTGCACGCCCCCCCCGCCGCGCCTAGGCCCCAGCTACATTTTCATCATTTTCGTGAGGAAGCCTCAGGTAAAACGATGTGATCCAGATCCGGTTGTTTTGTTGTAATCCGTTTTCCCTTGCAAAAAACACTATAAAATGACATTTCTTGTTCTAATATAATCAAATTTCAAGAATCCCTTGCAAAAAATAAGGTAAAGTGGACATTCGCGCGCGCAAGACGAAATCCTTCCAAAAGCTTAGTGTTCGGAGCGATTTTAACATAAAAACATCAAAAAACCAATGGTTTTTCAACAAAAAAATGTCAACATCTCATCCCGCGCGCTCTTGCGGATTCGTAGGAAACCCAACACTTTTTAAACATTTCTGTCAAACGGGCTTTTGCGAGCAACTTTTTCGAACTTCTGCGACAACGGTTGCGCACCTGCCAGGGCCATCATCCCTGTCAAATAATACCATGCGGGACACATTCGTTTTTTCTTCGCGCGCGCACGCCGTCGTCGTCGGCCGCGGGGCCCTGAATAGTAGCCACGGTCGTCCGCATGCCACGAAGTGAAGTGTCCGAACGTCATAGGGCGGGAAGCTGGGTGTGGGTGGTGGCGAAGAGTCGTTTGGAAATTTGGTAGAGCTTGAACCGGCCCCCCCACAAAGTGGGGGTATTGCCCGCCTCCTATGAAAACCCTGGCACTGGTGAGAACGGAGTGTCCCCACGTGCTAGTAATTGTTGTTGTTGTTGTTGTTGTTGTTGTTGTTGTTGTTGTTGAACTCCCATACCTGAAGAATAATTATTGTTGATCCCCCCCGTCCGGTGTGCCCTTCCTGGGGCTCGCTCCCTGTTTTTTATCAGGGAAAGTCTTTAGGGTCAAACTGTGGTGTTGGCCCCTGGTTTGCAACAACAACGGCTCTTGCTTGATACTTCTTCACACTTTATTAAAGAATCTCGCTCTCGCTTGGGACTTCCTGGCAATTTGCCACCGGGTCGCGGTTCCCTCTTGATTCGGGTACAGCCAGGACCCCAGGTAAGGGGACCCGTTTAGTGGTAGGGCCTTGGAGCCTTTGAATTGGCCAGAATCACTAAACCAGGTT